GAGGATGACTATGCAGAACATAGTAAAGCGTGGTCACTGGACTAAGGTTGAAGTCGGAGTAAGAAAACAGAACTGTAGACATGTTTCTTAGGGTATCATAAACACTAGCAACAAGTCCTGTATTGCAAGTAACAGTCCTCACAACCACCAGCTAATCAGGATTAGCTGGGGTCCTTATTTAAAATGGAGATTCCTGTCCTACTGCATCAGAATCCCTACAGTGGGGCTTGGATGTCTCATGGAAGTTAAAGAACCACTAATTTATGTTGAGTTGTGCGCATATACCACAAGCCTTTACCCATCCCATGTTACTTCTTAATTATGAGGATCCACAATGGTTTCCTTTCATATACAGAAGACCTCTGCCATTTGTGGATTCAGCAATCGTGATTTAACTTGTCAGAGAGAGGTTCCAATTACCCATGGCCTGTAGCTATTAGGGGTTTCTCTGAGGCACTGAGTATAGATCAAGATCAAGTGGGGTGAGGTCAGCTGACGGCCAACAGCCCTAGCATCCCAGACGACTTTGTGATTCTCTGGGTGGGTTTGCATTTTGCAGGAGGAATTATTTGCTAGAATTGAATTTATGATTTTAGGGATTCACAAAGATCTCCGGGCAGGCAGAAATCTCCTCTGATCTGATTCTCTCATCTCCCGTTTTCTAGAAATTTCTTCAAGTCTGCAAGTCCACTCCTAATGGCCATACCATTGCATTTTAAAATTAAATCCGGATTCTTTTTTGTCCTCTGCAGTATTTGGCTTAGTTGGCCAGTTTCCCATTTTCAAACGTCCTCCTTTGTTTTGTTTTCTTTCACTTATCTTCATGGATCTTTCTGCTGCTTTCTGCCTGTTACAGGCAGGCAACCTCACTTTACTCATTTCTCATCCAGGAGGTCTTGCCTGGCCGCCTTCTCTGCAGTAACGCTCCTCCAGTACGCGTGGTCTCTCCTCTTTGCTTTATTTTCTCGACAGCGCTTACCACCCTCTGATACATCATTTAGGTAGGCATGTCATGTATTTTTTGTCTCCTTCACCTCCCCTTCCAGCATATAAACTCCTACAGAGCAGGAAAACTGTCTTGTTTGTCTGTTTTGTGCTTTATTTTCTCTACTGTATCTCCAGAGCCTGGAACAGTGATTCAGTTATAGTAAGTGCTCAGTAAATGCTTATTGAATATACAAAAGGATGCATTTTCTCTCTTTATTGGCAGGGGATCTGGCAGGGAAGAAAGTGAGAGTACACGCAAATCCATCAGAGATTACTGAAGATGTGGGAATGTGTAGGGAAGCTGCAAGCTAGTACCCCAAGATTACTAACAGCAGAGGCTCCACGATCACCCCCAGACCTGAAGGCATGAGGGAGAAAGCTGGTGGAGAGAGTACAGAGTACAAATCTCGGCTCTCCAGACTCCTCCTTCTCCAGGACTGGCTATAACTTCAGAACCCAATACAAAGCGAAGATGCAGGGCTCCTCGCTCAAAAATTATTAAAGATCTCAAGCATGAAACCCTGCTAACATGGGACCCTGTGTGATAACACAGATCATGCAGGCATGAAGTTGCCTCTGTTCTCCTCCCTCCTAACCTTCTCCTGGAACTCCCCATTGGCCAAACTTAACTGATAACCAGAATTCAAAGGGGTCTATTTCCTGAATGCTTGATTCCTGGGGACACAGAACTAAATGGAGGTGGGTGAAGATTGGATCTGGGGAGCAGAAAAATGATATCCAGCCCAGGTAAGTAGAGAAGATATTTATCTCTATCTATGTCTGAGTAACAGAAGGTAAAGAAGTATAAGATACTTTCGGATTAGCCAATGATGACTAAGTGTAGACATATTTCCAATACGACTAAAAGATAAATACAGGGGTGCCTGCATGGCTTAGTTGGTTGAGTGTCCAACTTTGGCTCAGGTAATGACCTCACAGTTCATGAGTTTGAACCCCACAGTGGGCTTGCTGCTATCGGCGTAGAGCCAGCTTCAGATCCTCTGCACCCACCCCCACGTTCCCCCCGCCCCCCCGCCCCGGCCCTCCCCTGCTCACGCTCTCTCTCTCCAAAATGAAGAAACATTTTAAAATAAATAAATAAATAAACCGAATAAGTAGTATCGAGAAGAGAAAGTAAGTAATAACCCCAAGGTTCCAATCGCATCATTGGCTTTGGGGTCTGGCCAACCTCTGTCTCACTCCTGGCCTTGACCTTTAGTAGCTATGTAATGATAGGCAAATTTCTCATTTTTATTGCAACAGAGTCTGTAAAGCAGAGATAATAGTTACTTCAGAGGTTGTGGGCTAAATTAAAGGAAGTCCCTAGCACCTAGCAGGTGTTTAATAAACATAGGAGAACAGAAGAAAGCTGGGGTCACAGACGGAAATGGATGAGTCAGAAAAAGGTCTTTCTAGTTCTATGGGATTTCTGGAAAAACGAAAATGGTTGTGCTATAGTTTTAGAGCTCTGGTGGTTAGGAGGTTTTCTCTAACAACCCCATAGATGGCAACTTCTACAGAGTATAGCCATTTTTCGAAGAATGCTATTTGATTTCCCTGCTAGGCTTGACAGAAAGAATAGAGACTTTGCAGGCCTGCAGATGTGGTTTCAAATCCTGTCTCCACCAATTAGTAGTGGCAAGTTGTGTTACGTCCTTGGAGCCATAGTGTTCTGTTACAAAATGTGGTATCACTGTAAGGATTTACGAGATAATGTTGATAGTATGTCAAAGAAATGCTCAAAATTGTACCTGATATGCCACTCATTTTATTTTTTAAAATAACGTATTTAAAAAATTTTTTAAATTTATTTTTGAGAGAGAGACACACAGGGCATAAGCAGGGAAGAGGTAGAAAGAGAGAGAGAGAGACACAGACTCTGAAGCAGGCTCCAGGCTCTGTGCTGCCAGCACAGAACCCAACGTGGGGCTAAAAATCACAAACTACGAGATCATGATCTGAACTGAAGGTGGATGCTTAACTGACTGAGCCATCCAGGTGCCTCCTTTTTTAAAATTTTTTAAAAATTTTTATTTATTTTTGAGAGAGAGAGAGAGAAAGCAAGAGAGCATCTGCCACTCTTTTTTAGTTGTGCTGAACTTGGGAATCAAGTCCAAGAATCAAGTTCTTTTCTGTGTGTTTTACCCTTGTCCTCTCGGCCTTACTGGTCACACAAGTCTTAATAAGAGAATAAAGAGAGGAAGAAAAGAGTAAGAATCTACATTCACTTCTTCTGCAGGGAAGCTCTAGTTCCTCACCGGCTTTCACTCAGACCTGTGTTTAAACTTCTCTGCCTTAGGAACGAAGAAAGCAATAGAGGAAGCTTCGTGTCTCCCTTTAGAGAGTATATAAGTTGAAGAGAATGTGTCTTAATAGGTTGACATTCATGTCCTGTGAATGCGATCGTATTTGGCAAACGAATCTTTGCAGAAGTAATTAATGATCTCCAGATGAGCTCATTCTGGATTCTCTGAGTGAGCCCTACATCCGGTAACAAGGGTCCTTATAAGCAAGACTGAGGGGATAGACACGGAGAGAGGAGAAGGCCATGTAAATATAGAGGCAGGGTGGAAGCCATGGAGTCTGCCAGAAGCTGGAAGAGATAAGGAAGGATTCTCCCTTAGAGGCTTCAGAGGGGGCACAACCTGCCAACACCTTGATTTCATCTTTCTGCACTTCAGACCTGTGAGAGAACAGATTTCTATTGTTTTAAGCCACTGAGTTGTGGCTATTTCTTACAAGCAGCCCCGGGAATCAACACAGTATTCAATGAACAGCAACTGTAAATATTGAATATACTTACTACTAATAACAATAGCTGCCCTGTACTGAGCATGAATTGAAGACAGCAGTTTCTGGAAGCTGCAAGTGAGGAGCTGACCTCTCACGGTATCCCCAGCCTGTCCACCTCCAGCAAGCCTGGCTGTGGTATAATAAAAATATATTTCGTCTTTGGCCCTCTTGCTGACCTGAGAATTCCCCAAGAAACCCTGAGAATTTCCTGAGTGGTAACAGCTGTTTTGCATGCTAATGAGATGGCTTCTAGACCATGTTAGGATGAGGGTTGGATGCCAGAAAAACCGACCACAGGCTTCCATTGTTAGAATTCACAGACCTGTCCCCCACCTCTGGGGAACTGAGAGGCACCAGAGATTAGACCAATGGCTAATGATTAAACAGCCGTGTCTACATAATGAGACAAAAATCCCTAAACAACAGGGTTTTGAGAGCTTCTGAGTTGGTGAGCACATCAAAGTGCCATGAGGCGTGGCAAGTCTGCACGTGCCCCCAGCCCCCTACCTTACCCTATGCCTCTCCTGCACTGGGCTGTTCTGGAGTCGTATCCTGTATAACAAACTGGTAACCATTAAGTCAAGTGTCTTCCTGAGTTCTGTGAGTCTTTCTAGCAAATTATGGAGATGGAGGAAGGGGTTGTGGGAGCCCCGATTTATGGTGTGTCTGTCAGAAGTCTGGGCGGCCCCCTGGGGCTTGTGACTGGTGCCTGGAGTGAGGACAGTCCTATGGGACTGAGCCCTTGACCTGTCGGGTCGGTGCTAACCCTGGGTAGCTAAGGTGAGCACCGAATTGAATTATTGATCACCCAGCTGTTAGAGAATTGGTTGTTAGTGTTAGAAAAGACGCCACATATCTGGTGTTGGGAAGACAAAACTCACATGCTGACTTTCGTTTTGTTTTTCGTTTATTGCTCTTAACAAAAGAACTGCACCAATTTTTCCAGGGTATAGAGAACTATTAGGTCGTAGTTTTGTTGGCCTTTCCTAATATACTACAAGGGTTTGCATTCCTGCTTCAGGTGTGGATCCACAGTCTGGATCCTTCTCTTGGGAATCTGTCACTGGAGGACGTCAGCTGTACGTGCGTCCCTCAGGGGACCTGCCCGGTGGCGGGGCCACCTCAGCAGAGTGGGGCCTGTGTTTCTGCGTTTTGGCTTTTAATATTGAGGGGGTGGGTTCCTGGTTAAACACCCGCGTGTGATTTTTTTCAGACCGCCCTCAGCACGCCAGCCTTGGTGTCCGGCCCGTGCACTGCGGTCTCTGGAGGGGGGCGTAGGCAAGGACCCAGCAGTCATGCTCTTCACCACTTTCATTCCTAGCCCTGCTGCCTTCATCCCAAGGTCTCTTTATCTGAGGCTTTGGCCAGAGGCCCTCTTCCGGCGCCTCTGGGGAGACCTCCTTACCTGCAGGAGGAGGAGGAGGAGGAGGAGAAAAAAAGCCTTAAAGACACACTCTGATTCAGTACCCGGTACTTTTCCACTCCCGGCCCTTCTCCCTCACGTTCACTTGACCCCAGAGTTGATAGGACTCCCAGAGCCTTTTGTTTGGGGCTCCCTCAACAGTGAGACAACCCCACATCTATGCTGATACGCCTGACCCTCAACCAGCAACATTCCATGGGGTAAATGGCCAGGGTGGGGGGTGGGGGGGGGTGGGGGGGAAGGAGGCAACATTTTCTCTGGTTTGGGACTCTTGCTCACACCGTCACTGCAAGTGGTCAGAACCTTCATTCTTACTCTTTTGGCTCCTTGCTGTCATCGGCCCCTCCGGCAACAGGCAGTCCCCCTCTCTTTTTTCAGTCCAGCCGAGTTCCTGACAAATCTCCAGTCACTGTAAGCCAAAGCATAAAGATCAAAACTACTACATTGTAATTTCATTTCACCAAACATATGTGACGTGCCTACCATATTCCAGGCACTGTGCTAGGCTCTGTGGTGCAGTGTTGAATGAACCATAATCCCCGCCTTTGAGTCCATGGTCCGAAGGCACCTAGAAAGTAAACCGTTCGTTTCAACAGTGCGGTAAGTGCTACAATTCAGATAAGCACAGGTGTTTGGGGGGCACAGAGGATGGACGGCAGGCACGTGTTGGGTGGGGAAAATTTCCTTCTACCCTTAGTAATTAAACAGACACAAAACAGGTTCACGGGGGGAAAGAAAGAACTCAAATTTAATTTTGTGTATATGGGGGCCTCAAAGATATGAAGTCCAAGAAGTAACCGAAACAAAAACAAGATGTTTATATGCCTTCTAGACAAAGAAATAATAAACTAGTGAAGAACAAGACAAAAACTTCTTCTTGGATGATAATTAATGAAGAAACTAAGCAGATGTTGTTTACAAAGCCCTCTTGGCCCTGAGCTCCCTATCTCTAGTGATGAGGATATCTCTCAATCTCTCGAGGCAGAGAGGACTGGAGGGTGGGGAGGGAAGGGCCAGAGAGAAGGGCCAGAGTGTCCTTTTTGCACCGGCTGTTTCTCAAATAACTCGAATTCAGAATAATCAATATGGCTGCCAAAGTACCATATTGTGGGGTGGTCTTCCCTGAACCCTGAAACATGGAGGGAAAGGGGGAGGTCAAGGAGTCTTTCAAGGGGAGGCAGTATCTGAGGTGAATCTCAAAGCGTAACTGAACAAGTAGGAGAGATGTGAGGACAGAAGACCCCGCTAATTATTAAATTATTATTTTTTAATGTTTTATTTATTTTTGAGACAGAGACAGAGTGCAAGCAGGGGAGGGGAAGAGACAGCCAGAGACACAGAATCATAGGCAGGCTCCAGGTTCTGAGCTGTCAGCACAGGGCCTGATGCGGGGCTTGACCTCATGAGCCAGGAGATCATGACCTGAGCCAGAGTTGTATGCTTAAGCAACTGAGCCACCCAGGCGCCCCATAGTTGGTTTGTTTTCTTTTTTTTTCCCCAAAAAGCTAGTTTTCTTCTCACTGGGGTGCTCACATCCCGGCTGGTGGTGGCATATGGCATGCACACAGGCAAATGAAGCAGATAATCTTGGAAAACGTGGAGCAATGTGAAGAGGCAGCCGTGTCTGGGGAGATGGTAGTTTTGACGTGCACATGGCAGAGACCTCTGGTCTGTCGGGGCAACGGGAGTGAGGCTTCCGGCAATCAGTCCTCAAGGGCATAGGGGCCGGGGAATAAGGCACTGTGGTGTTTTGCTGACAATCCGGGTATCATTCCTTCAGTCTCCTCGTTTCGTGGCCTCCTAACTCATGTCTTGTACTTTTTCAGAGACCAGGAACTCCTTTGTTTTGAACTAGCTTCAGTAGACGTTCTTCCCCATAACTGACAACATGACTGGTTAAGAGGGCCTTCTAACTAAGGAAGACATTTGCAGGCAGCAAGGCAGGAAGGTCTTTCTGGAAGAAGACCTGGAAGGTCTTCCTGAGAAGTCTGGAGCTCCTTGTTCCCTGGTAAGTGTGAGTCATGCGCCCAACTTGCTAGTCAGGACTCACTTTCTCTTCCAAGTGGGACCTGTACGTGTCCAGACATAGCAGCCTTTGTTCTGGTGGCTGTCAGTCGGCACGGGCCTCAGGGAGAGGAGGCACAGATGGGGAGACAGGCCAGGCCAGGTGCAGTCCCCTCTATGCCCGCTTCCTAGGAATCCTATGAGTCCTACACCAAATGGACACACTGTCCACCCTCTTTCTTTGAGCAAGCGCATCACTATACAGAATCATTAAAGTACCACTGTGATAGCACTGTAACCGGTCTTGAGGCTAACTTGCTTCGAGCTTATGCACTCCTTGCCTGCTGACCTCAGGCCCTTGGTCTGTAGCTGAAGTGACCTGCTTTCCTTGAGATTTGCAGAGTGCTGACCAAACTTTCCTAGATGAAGCCTGACTACATTTACAAACAGCTGCTGCTGATGCAGCAAGTCTGTTCAGGGTCATATCGACATATGACTAACCACCTGGGTACCTGCCCCTCCTGCGGTGGCTCTGCCCCCCCCCCCCCAACCATTTCCCTCGTGCCTTCTCCTTTAAAACCCTCTGGATGCACCTGGACAGGGAAGATGGCCCTGGCGACATTAGAGTTCACCGTTTTCCCAGGTTGCTGGCTTCCTGAATAAAGCAACCTTTCCTTTCCTACCATCACTTATCTCTCAAGTGTTGTTTTGCGAGAGGTGAGCAGCTGAACCTGAGTGTGGAACCAGTTCTCTTTCTGGTAGAAAGATCACTTCATTCAACTTTCTTCAAGTCACATTGAACCAAAGGCTGGAGAGGTTAAGAATAGTAACGACTATTGGGGCGCCTGGGTGGCTCAGTCGGTTGAGCGTCCAACTTCGGCTCAGGTCACGATCTCACGGTTTGTGGGTTCGAGTCCCATGTCGGGCTCTGTGCTGACAGCTCAGAGCCTGCTTCAGATTCTGTATCTCCCTCTCTCTCTGACCCTCCCCTGCTCACACTGTCTGTCTGTCTCTCTGTCTGTCTCTCAGAAATAAATAAAACACAAAAATTTAAAAAAAAAGAATAATAACGACCATGAATATAGTTCTCTTCTGTTTACAAAGCTTTCATCTCTAAAAACTTCTTTGGTCCTCATAGCCACCCAGTGAGTTTAAGCCACTGGCCCAAAGGCTCTTTGCTTATTTAGCTTGTGGCAAGGCAGCGACCAAGACCCACATTTCTGGGTGTGTGGTCCTGTCTACTTAGTGCTCAGAGGCTCTGCAGACTGGTTCTGGTCTGCAAACTCTTATCACAGGAGAAACACCACGCTCTACTACTTTTGTTCCCAAGCTGAAAGGGTGATTGGGTAGTCTGGGTCTCTTTAGAAGATGCAGAAGGCTCTTATGCAATTCCTGCTCTTACAAAATGTCCCTTCTTTTAAAACCACACGATCTGATTTGCTTTCAAAGAAATATAAAGCTAAAAGTGGTAACTCTTGTTTTGGGTAAAATGTAAATTGTGAGTCATGAATCGGCCAGAGAACAAGCCAGGAGCGTCTCACTGGTTTCTCTGTCGTGAGCCCTATGTACCCTGGGGTTGGGTTGACACATCAAAGAATTTTATATTGGAAGAATTTCCACAGGGTTAGATTGCTATTATTTAAAAGTATAAGATAAAATGTATTTTAACTGAGATTGCACTGTATGGTATATGTGTATGTGGAGGGACATGTATAAAGCTTTCTATTCTATAAAAGTACGGGAGAAAGATAATGGCATTTTTAGCAAACGTGAAAACAATGTGCTGTGTCTGCAGACACAAAGTCATTCTCCATGAACTCTAGACTGGAAATTCTTTTGAAAAGATGTTTGTTTAGTTTTGAGAGAGAGAGAGAACACAAGCAGAGTAGGGGCAGAGAAAGAGGGAGACAGAGGATCCTAAGCGGGCTCTGCACTGACAGCAGAGAGTCCCATGACGGGTTTGAACTCATGAACCCGTGAGATCATGACCTGAGCCGAAGTCAGACGCTTAACTGACTGAGCCACCCAGGCACCCCCTAGACTGGAAATTCTTATCTTTCTGAAATGGTTAACTTATCACCACTGAGTAGAACGAGGTCATTTTCAGAATACATTATCTAACACCTGGTTTGTTATCAGCTGGGGGAACAAAAATTCAAGGGACTCGGGCCTGAAAGGAGAAGTTTCCCACACTACTTTTGTTATTTTTTTTTTTTCAGTTACAAAAACCAAAGCTATGTGGTCATTACAAAGATGCTCTCAGAAAGACAGAAGCGGATTTAGTATGGTAACAGCTTTTTTCATAAAAGCAAAAACCTTTGAATTTCCTGTGGTTGGCGAAAACAGGTACTAATATGGGAAATCTTTTGTAAAAGCAGGTGGCATTAACTCAAACTCAGAAAGTGTGGGATACCTCTACTATTGTTTCTTGTTTTATCAGTTCAGACGCTGATTTCCTACTAACATAGATGGAAAATTCGGCTCGCCTAAAATGCTGTCTTGTTCTCTCGCCTCCTTCCATTACCTCCTTCCTTCCATATCAGTGCCTCTGTTGGTCATCATGGTAATTTCACAGGTATTTCGTTTCTTAGTCTTTCGGCCTAAAAAACGTATAAAGCTAAGTTTCAAGTTTCTTAAGATTTCACTCTTCCCTCCAATTTTCTTTCTGAACTGATTAATGTCCCTCGAGAACTGAGAAGGTCCCTCAACCTGAGTTTGTGTGATGTTCTTCTCATGATCAGATTGAGGTTAGATTTTAGGGAAGAATATCATATATCATGTATGTGATGCGACCCTCAGTGCATCATATCTGGGGGTACATGATGTTAATGTGTCTTGATGCTGGTGAGGTTAGTCCTAATCGTCTGGTTAAGGTGGTGTCTAAGGCTTTTAACTTTAGATCAGTATTTTTTCCTTTGTAATAATAAGTATTTAAGGGGAGACACTTTGCAACTATGCAAATATCCTATTTTTCCTTAAATTTTCACCCATCAATTTTAGCATTAATTGGTAGATCTTGCCTGTAACAATTATTACTCTATTGTTCTCATAGCCATTTTTATTTTTCTTCATTTCTTCTACATTTATTAATTGAACTCTCCTATAAGGAAAAATTGTCTCTTCTCCATCATTTACTTATATATATGTAATCACTTATTTATAGCAGTGTGGAATCATGGACACTTACTTTATTCTTTAAGTTATAATCAAAATCTTCATTATTTATTTCAGTGGTACATTTCTTGCAGGTTTGACTACTGTAAGTTCCTTTATGTTGGTTGCTGTGTCATTTTGACATCCCCCAACTTCTTCTTTTTCTCAACTCCCTGAGCATTTCATTACTTCCTGGCAACACAAAGTCCTCTAGGCTTATTTTGTATTTTTTCTGCTCTAGACTTGAAATCAATCACTGCTCCAAAGAGCCCTGGTACCTTTTGTGAATAGTGTTTACAATCCATGATCTGGACACTAGTAGTCTTCATAGTTATTGGGGTATCACTACTTCTAGGTCTATCAGTGGGTTAGTAT